TCAGGGAGCCACGGCTGGTGTGTCTTAGAAGAATCTCTTATCTTCACATTTTCCATTTCTGGTCTATAAAAGGGTGTGATAATCATTATCTCACAAGGTTTATATTCTAAAATGTGTGACGTGGTTTCTAAAATGTCTGTGCTACTACAAATGTGAGAAGCATGGTAAGGTCTGACACCAGGGGAGGCTGAACAAAGGTGAGTTGTTACCATGGGAGCTTCGTGTGAAACACTGGAGTTCTCTATTACTTCTGGGATAATGCCAATTTGGCTCCAACTTTTAAATTATATGTTTATTTTGAAGTCCCATTATCTGTTTCCTTTTGCCAGACACCAAATGGCTATGTTATTTAAGGTCCTGAGGTCATCACAAAGTGTCTTATCCTCAGATTCAAGGGTCTAGGCAGGCCATGCATGCTGACTTCCTGCTTCCAGTCCATGAATTCTGTACAATTTTGATACTGGGAGTCTGCTAGTAAACAAGCCTGACTCGTCTAGATATTGGTCCCATTGCCTTAAATCATTAGACCCGGTAGCACATGGACCATGTCCCTTTCTTTTTTTTTTTTGGTTTTTTTGTTTTTGTTTTTGTTTTCATTTTTGTTTTGTTTTGTTTTGGATTGGGCTTTTTTGCTTATGGACCAATCTAAGCTATTTATTTAAGACATCTCCTGCATAAGCAAAGGGATGGAAAATCAGTATACTGGTCATCATTTGATACAGGTAAGGAAGGTGAGCTTAAGGGTCACATATGTGTGCAGAGTCATGGTCCAAACCAGTTCTGTAGTTCCCCACTGGGTCAGTCGTACAGGTTTTCTTTATTCATCTATATAGCCCATTGGAAGTGGACTCACTTGAGAGTTACGGAATACAGTATGATTAACATCTCCCCAGGGAAAGGGCTTGGACCTGATTCAGAGATGGGGGGTAGGCAATGAACTGAAGTCTCTCATGCTCTCCATGATGCGACATTAGAAGACATTCAGCATGCTCACTCCCACATGGGAGAGAACTAAGAAGTAGGTGAGGGCCTTCCACACGCTAGCTGAGCCGTCCTCCCCACTTGACATGGACCTCCTAGCTGTGCCCTGGACTGCCCTAGCATCCTGGAAACCCGGACCCAGCTGCCACTCCTATTTTCGACCCAGAAAGCCTCAGTGCCACCCAAGTCCCTCTTTCTTAGCATCCTTCCCTAAGCAAACAATCACTTCATAAACGACTTCTAGAAATGAAGCTAAGTTTTTACCTTCTCGGTAGAGGGCGTTTGGAGGAACATTGCAGGAGAAGGGGTGGGAATTCAGTGGGAGGGGTGTGTGGATTTGCTCTGCACTGCCCAGCCCCCCTCTAGGTTTCTCCAAAGCAAGGATCCTGCAGTGTAGTTTTTTTTTTTTTTCCCAGGACTAGATCAGCCACATGCTTCCTCCAGCTTTCAGTTCAGGGTAACCAGAAACCCTAAAGGCATGGGCCCTGACCCCAGTCGGGGCTACTGCTCCCTCTACCCTTTCCCGGGCCCTCTGCCTGTGCAGGTCTGGGCTCTGCAGGGTTGGCTGTCTACAGAGCCACCACTCAGCCTTTGTCCACTGCAGTTGCCAGAGCCACAAGCAGAAGGTAGCATCCCTAGAGCCCAGCTCAAGCAGTGCCCAGTGGCCAGCAGCTGCCCCTGGTATCTCCCACATTCCCTGGCTTGGCACCTTCCTATGGATGGCTGACTTCTGGCTGGCACAGCCCCTCGCAAGCTTTTCTACCATCGTGTGAGTAATGGCTGTGCCCTCACGTGAAAATAAGACTCAACCTCGGGAGCCTCTTCCCTGGGCACTATCTCAGCCCCAGGGCCAGTGGCTGCTCTTTATGTCAGATACGTCCGTATATTCTTGCAAGTCTTTGTTCTTACTTTATTTACTTCACAACCCCCCACTGGAATTCTTAACATCAAACTTTCCCTGAGTTGTGGGTAATTTTTGCTTCCTCACCAGACCCTGACAGATACACAGAGTCCCTGCATGAACACTGAGGTCCTCTCACATTTCTTTACCTCAGTTTTGCAAATTGCTTCTAATTTAAGTTTTGCTAGGGGCCACCACTTCCAACTGGCCATTCATCAAACTGGCAACATATCACTCTCTATAGTTCTTCCCCCGTCTGAGGTACACTAGCTGACTCCATTCTATGAAAAAACCCACTTAAATACAGAGAACTAAAATGTTCTTGACATTGCAGCATTGTAGTCATAACCTTGGCTTTCCAACTGTCAGGCTTTTAATTTTTAAAAAAATGTTAGGGGCACCTGGGTGGCTCAGTTGGTTGAGTGTCCACTCTTGATTTCAGCTCAGGGCATGATCTCAAGGTTCATGGATTAGAGCCCTGTGTCGAGCTCTGTGCTGACAACATGGAACCTGCTTGGGATTCTCGCTCTCCTTCTCTCTCTGTCCCTCACCTTGCTCTCTCTCTCAAAATAAGTAAAAATAAACTTTAAAATTAAAATAAAATTAATTTTAGTTTAGTTGAATTAATCTTAATTCCAGTATAATTAACATATATGTTATATTAGTTTTCCAATTATCAGGCTTTTAAATGCCAGAGACTTCCTATCTTTATTCTCCATGGAGCAATTCTTATATTTCAGAATAATAATGTATCAATGGGAATTCAGCTACCAGAAAAAAATCTTTGGACATTTAGAGGGGAATTTAAAAAAAAGAAAAAGTGAAAAAAGACACCAATAATAGGGACAATGTGCATGTATACTGAAGAATTTGGATGCTGATAAAGATTGCTTTGGTTGTTAATTTTAGCTATTTTGACTAAATTATGGCTCAATTCCATTTACTTCCTCAGGCATTCATTGGGCCTGAAGGAGGGTGATATAGGATGTGTCTATCTGTAGCCATCTTTGAATTTTAAACACCCAAACAGCTGAATTACATAAAGCACTTACAAGCAGCTGAATTATATTAAGCACTATCAAGCTATGAAGTGTTCTAGTTGTTATTTGGGAAAAAAGTGGGTGGGGGAGGCTTGTCAATATTACTGGGATTACAACAATTGAATAAAATTAGAAGACATGAAACATGGACGTTATTCTTGAGAGCTGACCAAGGAGATACACCTATGTGGCTTTCCCCATGCCACCACCACAAACATGTACAATCTGCTTGCCAGTTCTCAAATTTTCATCCATTAGAGATTCATGTGTATTCATTCATGTTACAGTCCTCTTCCGTGCACACTGGCCACACTGCCAGGAAGGTAACATTCTAGCTTGTGCAGCCACTGGCTCCCCATAATCCCATGCATGCTGAGATCACAAGAACTGAGCTGGCAATGCAGCCCCATACTGATTTCAGGCTTAGTCCACACACTAATCTGTGCCCTGGAATTCTGGGCTCTAGTCTTGTAGACTGGGGTAGGCCTGATGGAGAAAGCCTGGAAGTAAGGTCAACCTTAGGAGAACACATAGGCACGGGGGCCGAGGGGCTAGTAGTGGAAGGTGAGCCCACATTTACTGCCAAACTCTGGAGCACAATAATGCAGATGCTGGAAATCTCCAGCACTGTGCCCCCAGAGGTCCCTAAATTCCACCAGTTCTCCTGATCTAGGATGATGACAGCACTCCATTTTTTAAAACTGCTATTTTTAGTATTTATGTCAGCTTTGTATCATTCCAGGAAATATTTGCGGCAGCTCACCAAAACAAAACAAAACAAAACAAAACACACCTGACACAAAAGAAGGCTTAAAGAAAAGTAAATGAGTAGTGACTTTAATCCTGCACTGTATATTTGAAAGTTGCTAAGAAAGTAGATCTTAAAAGTTCTCATCACAGGAAAACAAAATTGTAGCTGTATGTGGTGATGAATGTTAACTACACTTACTGTGGTGATCACTTCACAATATACTGAATCATAACACTGTATACTTGAAACTAATTATAATATTGTGTCAATTATTTCTCATTAAAAAAAAAGTAAATGAGGAAACATGTAGAAAGAAGTAAGGGCAGATGCTGGTAATGAAGTCCAAGTACACTCACTGTAGGCTGGAGGAGTGTGAGAAATTCCCACCAACCAGGGCAAGGTGGGGAGCCCCAGTGTATGGAATTCTATCTGGCCTTTTGAAAGTGTACAGAGGCGCCTTTGTTGTCACAGTGACCAAGAGTGAATTACATGTTCACTCGTGAGTGGGAGGCAAGGATGCCATCCCCCAAATAAATCCTGCCCAATGAACACCCACCCAAAATACTGACAGTGCTCAGGATGAGATCCATAAGCTGTAAAACAAGCCAACTGCTCAAGAGAAGGCTACCTTATCTTGATTCTAAGGCTGATTTCCCCGGGGGAGCTCATGGAGAGGTCTCAGTGACACAGAAGAAAATCCCCAAAGTATGACATTGACTGACACATGTTATGTGAGAGAGGACAGTGAACAGAAGGTTAGAAACCCCTGAAAGGTTTGAATTTTCTGGCCACAAGGCTGTTGGTGAATGTAGGCAGTCAGACCTGACTTCCCTTCCTACTTCTCATTTCACATCAACTGTGCATTTTTGAGCTGTGGCTGAGGCTCTCTAAAGCAGAATTCAGATACAGAAAATCGGATGCCAAACTCACAAAACAGCCTTGAGGAGAAAATGTTTCAGAACTACACTCTCAGAATAGGGCATTACTTCTGCTGTGTTGCCATTTAGCAAACTAGAGCAACTACTGGATAAATGTCAACAGTCAGCTGGTCATAAACATTCTCTGCAACTTTAAATACTGTTTTGAGAAACTCAGAAGTACAGAGTGGAAATCAAGGTTATAAAAACTGGGTTCTGTTCCCCCCAGCCATAGGCCAGTCATGGGCTCAGGCAGGTCCTCTCAGGCCTTCAGTCCCACACCTATCTACTAGTAAAAGTGGCCCTGGCCACTGGAGTTGGGGGATAGGGTGCAGATGCCCAGAGAGCAATGTGGGAGATACTGTGTGGGCGTGGTGCCAAGGGTGCCCTGGATGTATCCAGTCACTTACGAGCTCTGAGAAGCCGCGGACCACCTGCCGTCGCTTCAGGTTGGTCTCTCCATCCAGGTTGGCAGTCTCAATGTGGCACAGGCCATCTGGGTCACTGGAGGAGAGCAGGAGAATGTCTGCAGGGATGATCTCATTGCAGCGAAGACGCACAAAATCTCCCACACGGATTTCTTTCCAGAATCGGTTCACATACTGCTTTTCCTCCCTGATAAAGAGACTGTCATTAACAAAACTGGCAGGAGGCTGATCATTCCTGAATCTGTGTGATGGGCACATTTAACAAATATTTCTACTAAAAATTTCCATAAGGAAAGTGTTTAAAAAGGATACTCATTAATACCACATATACAGTGTGACTCCAGTTATGTGAAATATTCAGGATAGGCAAATCCATGGAGACAGAAGGTAGATTAGTGCTTACCAGCAACCAGGGGTAAGAGAAATGGGGAGAAACTGTTTATTGAGTACAGGTTTCCATTTGATGAAAATGTTCTGGGACTAGGTAGTGGTGATGGTTGCACATTATAAATGCACTAAATGCCACTGAATTATATACTTTAAAATGGTTAAAATGTCTACTTCTAGGTATACCCCGAAGAATTAATAGCAAGGACCCATATAGATAATTGTACATCTGTCTTCATAGAAGCATTAGTCACCATAGCCAAAAGGTGGAAACAACCCTAATGCTCAATGATGAATGAGTGGATAAGCAAAATGTGGTATATATCTAGACAAGGGAATATTATTCAGACATGAAAATGAAGTTACATGCTGTAACATGGATGACAGTTGAAGACATTATGCTAAGTAAAATAAGCCAGTCACAAAAGGACAAATATTATATGAATGCACTTTTATGAAGTGACTGCAACAGGCAAATTCACAGAGAGTAGATCCTCTCTACATCTCACTGTCCTGCTGTCTGCAGAACAGAGATAACAGTAGATGCATCCTCTCCACATCATTCAACACGAAGTGGACAGCATATGCCAATCACCCAGAACAATACCCAACACAGTCAGCTTTCAACTTCCAATAGTTACTATTAACAGATATTTAGATGAAAACATTGTAGATTTCTTCTTCAGATTTTTTTTTTTTTTTACTCTGAAAATACAGGCCAATTAATCCTACAAAGGACATTTTTAAGAGTTCCTTCATGGCAGTTTTGCGCACTTAATTTATAAAAATAAGTATAGAAACATGACTTTAGATCAACATGATATGCTATAAGGAAATCTCATCAAGAAATGCTCTGGGTGATACTGTTGGGGGGAGAAAAACATGAAAACACATTTCAATGTAACCATCACCTTCTTACTGGTTCCTGCCCCATACAATGCCTCTCCCTTGCCTGAGTTCCCAGAAAGCCTGAATTCAGGCAGCAAGTCTGGATCTCAAGGTAGGCCGAGTCAGCCACATCTTATGGACTCCTCCACTTTGGGAGAAGTATTGAGGTTTTACACATCTATTTAATTCCACACTGTGGATTTGAGGAAACCTATGGAAAACTTCCAGGAGCTCACAGCTATCAGCTGCTCCATCCCTGTCCATTTTAAAGCCTCTGTTTTCTTGTTCTTCCAATTCAAGATCCACCAAACTGATTATGTACGAAGCATAGTTTGGCCACGTTAGGACCAACAGAGATAAATTAGATATAGCTCTGTCCTCAAAAATAATGCAAGGCAAGGCCAAACCACTGGATAGCAACCCTTGGGGACTGTATAATCAAGCCCCCAGTGTGAGCAAAACTATCCAAAGCCAACCCATCATTCCTCACAAGGCCAGGGTGTTCTTCAAGGCTGCTTAAATAGGTGTGATAAGGTCCCATCAGCCTCCAATCTGACATCAGCTGGCTCTAAGATAAGGCACAGAAGGGGCATTCAATCACCTGACCATCCTGCTGGCTCACTTCCAGTCTGACCTCTTCCCTGTGGACAGACAGCCTTGATGTGAGACAGATGAAACATTTTTAAATGTTCCTATTTCCTTTCCTAAAGGTCAAACCTTGATTTTATATCACTGCAAGCATTAGCTCCTTAATCTTTATTCCTTATCATGACCATTTGTTGGGTTCCCACAGAAAGTACAAAGAAATGTGAAAGAGCCTATCCTCTTCCAGAAGAAAGTTTCCAACAGCTAAGTCACAAAGGAGGGCAGCATACACTCTTGAGAGTGAGGTGGACAGGATTTGTGATGACAGGGGTTGCCAGGAGACCAGTGGTCCCAGACTTGCCCTGGGATGGCACAGGAAGGTGATGACAAGAAGAGGAGCAGAATGGTCTGTGTTCAGTTTATCTTAACTACATTCCATTTACAGAACTCATCAAACATAGAGTCAGTTTCCACCTGCTTTGAAATCTTAAAACGTTAGCTTGCCCACTACATCAGAGCACTGCTTTTAAACCAGCAATTTTGGTGGAGGCACTGAGCCACACAGGAGATTCCCCCACAGCAACCCCTCAATCCCCCTGATGTGCCTGCAATCTGTGAGCACTCAGTCACAGTCCTCGCGAGAGGACCCATGTGAGCCATGGAAAGCAAAGGGAGCAGGACACAGAGTAGCTCCATAATGGCTTCTGTGAAAAGGCCCTGCAGTTCACGGGAATTCTGCAGGAGGCTGGGCCCTTAAAACCCAAACCTGGGAGTCATTTGTGAAAGAAGAGCAGCATGACAGAACCCCTTTGACACACCAACAGACCAAAAATTCCCCATCAAAGCCCCACAGTCCCATCAACGATTCCAGATGGAGACCCACACTGAGTCTGGACCCTACATCAAGCCCTGCAATATCCCTGCCTACTTTCTCATATTTCTATATGTATACTATATTATGTTATATATTCACATATATGTATACTATATTATGTTATATATTATATATTCACATATATGTATATATAACATCTCTTGCATATAACACATTACATATAAGTAGCCCTTTGTCTCATGAGGGGGGTATATGCTTATTTTTTCCCAGGAACTGTATTTGGACATAGGGTCTAAAGTTGAAATGAGGTCACAGGGTGTGGTCCTAATCCAATGTGACTGATGTCCTTATAAGAGGAAAAGACACCAGGGATGTGTGCACATGGAGGAAAGGCTGTGTGTGGTCACAGAGGGAAGACAGCCATCTGCAAGCCAAAGAGAAAGGCCTCAAGAAAAAGCAACCCTGCCGACACGCCTTGATCTTGGACTTCCAGCCTCCAGTACTGAGAAGACAATAAGCTTGTTTTAGACACTTGGTCTGTAGTGCTTTGCTATGGCAGCCTGAGCAGACTAACACCTAACAACTTCAAGTCCCAGGACTCCTGCTGGAAGGACCAGCTCCCAGCCTGCAGTGACAGAGGAAGAGACAGCAGAGGAAGCGGGTAGTAGAGGGGCACCATGCCAGGCGATTTATCCATAGGCATGAGTCCCACACTGCCCCACACATCTGTGCACAGGAAAAGCACCACAGAGAAGACAAAAATAAATCCTTTGACACAATACTATAAACACTAGCTTCTTAATAACACTCTTCTTCAGACTATTCTAAGCAGCAGGTAAATGATTTGGAACTGCCCTCCATTTCCTCAGGTCAGTATGGATACAGGTCGGGGTAGACACAATGTGTGAGCCTCCTCTCTGTGGCACAAATATCAGGAGATACTCTCACCACCCCATGGCCTCCCTGCCAAATCTAATCCCAACCAGGCATGGGCCTGCAAACCTGCAGGACCATAGGACTCCCCTAAAACACACGGATTATATTTTTTACAGTGGCAAGTTTGAAATCATCAAAGTCCTCAATATTCTGGATTCCTTCATAGCAATTAGGAAGGGGCACTGTTTAGTTTGCCCACACATTCCTTCTAAGAACAGGTGCCAACTACCCCTGGCAATAGGATTCTGAGATGGCCCCCAAATCTCCAGCCCAGTCCTGGTGTCCACACCCCTGCCAGCTCCCTTGAGTGAGGTAGGGACTAAGTATGAATGTGGAGGAAATCACTTGTGAAGATGTAACTAAGGTGACCCAATCAGTAGACTATGAGCCAACCAACAAAGAGATCATCTGAGTGGGCCTTACAGAGCCACAGGAGTCCTATCAACCTGGGCCTAATGACAGGGACAGGAACTCAGAGGGGCCACATGGCCAGAGCTGAGAGCACAAGGCCTCAGCCCTACCACCACTGGAGCTGAATTACACTAAGAACCTAAAAGAGCCTGGAAGAAGATGCAAGCCTCAGACAAGAACACAGCTGCAGCCAACACCTCACCCGCAGCCTGGTGAGACATCGGGTAGAAGACCTGGCCAACCCATGCCTGAATTCCTAACCTCCAGGAAATGTGAGATAATGTATCTGGATTCTTTCTTTTGACAGGTAATATCCTATTAGTTTCAGGTGTACATCATGGTGATTCAATATTTTTATAGATTACAAAATGATCCCCATGATAAGTGAAATTACCATCTGTCACCATAGAAAGTGATTACAATATTATTGATTATATTCTCTACACTGTACATTACATCCCCATGACCTATTTATTTTATAACAGGAAGTTTGTGCCTCTTAATCTCCTTCACCAATGTCCCCCCCTCCAACCCCTCCCCACTCTGGTAACCAACGGTTTATTCTCTGTTATCTATGACTTTGTTTCTGTTGTGTTTTGTTTGTTCATTTATTTTATTCTTTAGATCCCACATATAAGTGAGATCATACGGTATTTGTCTTTCTCTGACTTATTCACTTAGCGTAATAACCTCCAGGTCCATCCATGTTGTTGCAACATTGTTTTTAGTTGCTGAGTTTGCAGGGATTTGTTGCACAGCAATAAAAAATTAATACACACCATTTCCATTTTCTGTACAGAAGCAGGAGCTAGATGCTTCTCCCATCCTGGCAGCTTCGTCTTCTACAGTGTGTAACAAACTAAAGATTCTGCCGGTAGTTTTATAGTCTGCATACTTGAGGAAAAACTACTTAACGATAAAAGAATGCATAGAACAAGACTGGTTATAATCCAAAAGTGTTTTTCTCTCTCCACATAAAGTGGAAGCCCATCAGAGGGCCTGAATAACATATTAAAATGTGGAGAAACCCTGAAAATGTGCAATCTTGAAATACGGGCTATGTTATAAATATTACAAACATGGTGCATGATTCCTCCACAGGAATGGCAACTGGCTCTTGCATTTAGCTGCAATTTTCTGCTCATGATTCCTGACAGGTCTGAACAGAGTGTCAAACCAAGATTTCAAAGGTCATGAGC